TAATAAAAAATCTCAAGGCCTAACATATCTTCGGTTAATGATGTTGACATTCAACCAGCAGATTAAGCATACTGTACATATGAATGAATGATAAGAATTCCTAGATTAATAGAAGTAAACAAAATTAGACAGCTAAATTCTCAGAATATATGTATGAAAAAATGCATATGTAAAACCGCAAACTTGGGAATAATGCTTACCTTCACAGTACTCTCTTTATGCATAGCCCAAAGGCATAAGTAATTAAGACAGTTAAATATGCACGATGCAATGATGTAATTCCTCTTTCTGTCTGAAAATCCAAATCTCTCTGATGTCTACTAATCTAACACTCAACTCAGTTCATATTTTTTTAATGATACAAAAATGTTTTGCTATACTGTTTACTAGCAATTTACAGTCCTGATTAAAACACGCCTATGTGGTTTTTGCACTTTGAAATAAGTTTATTTTTGTCTCTTGGCACAAGTTTTTGAAGACATTTCTTGCAATTTTCCTTTTAATTTCAAAGTGCTATTAATCTGGTGAATCTGACAGCCAAGAAATTACAGAAATTTATTTTTGTCTGAGTCAATGGTAGACTTGAAACCTGTCACAAGAAGCTGATTCTCACTCAAATATTTATCCACCATAAAAAATAAATCATCTAATGAAAGCAATTAGAAATTTTCAATAATTTATAAGAATACTTTTGGATTAATTTCTTAATACAAAGCACACCAACCTAGTAAATCTACAAACATCATGCTAGAGGCTTCAAATTTCTCAGAAAAAAAAATCATACATTATTTATGAAATGCCTCTTGCTTAAAATGCCAAAAATATTCTTTGATGATTAATATACACAAAATGATTTTTCAAGACTAAAAATACCCATTCAAGCTTTCATAACCCTGCAACGCTCTTGCAACAATTGCTTGCACTATACACTCACACTCTTTTTTATCTGTGTCTTGGGCATATGTGCGTTATAAACTTCCTAGCTTATTAAATTGTAGCTTTAGATATGGTACAGCTATATTTCTCCATCTCCTGAAAAATTATGATACATTATGGAAAGTAAATGTTGATCTTTTCTCATTTATTGCTTAAAGTTTGTCCTATCAACTTTTGCTGAAGTAACAATTATAAAACTACAGTTACGCTACTATTCCAGTACATTAGTAATGCAATAGTGTATTCACCCTTATCTAAATTCACTAATGAAAATGCTTAATTATAATATTAAAACAAAAATTTTTTGACAAATATACTAATGTTTTATCATGTGCATTAACCTTATATTTTTCGCTAAGCGATTAAGAAAATTTTCACATACTAAAATATTTTGAACCCTCTCTCTCCCGGTTATTCAGATTTTGTAAATAAATTTTTTAAAAAAAGCATAAGATATTATTCTTGCAAAAATAGTTTAGCATTACATTTACAGATATATCACACAGGTTATTTTTTTAAATCTACACCTAGTGTTTACATATATTAGTTCACAATTCGATTGTTTAAGGATATTGAACCACCTTTCTGCTTTATTCTTAATTTTATAGATTCAAATTTATTACAGATGAAAGAAATTTAATTCAGCTGGACTGCAAAATGACCATGGACCTGGCAATGCAACTAAATACCTAGGTTTCTCCATAGTTCAATGTGAAAGCAATTTACAAAATAGTAGAATAAGAAATTAACCAAATCATCCCCAAAATTTTAATATTACATACACACAACAGAAAAACCTACTTTTCTTAAAAATAAAAAAAGTCTTAAATCATGTTAAATATTTACAGGGAGGAAAGATAGATAAAAAAGAAGGAAGGAAAATAATGTATATATTATTTAATGATAAAATTAATCAAATATTACATTTCAGTTAGTGTTTTTCTGCTATTTTGAATGTAATTCTCTTTTTATGCTCATATTTCTCCAGTCATTTTTCATATGCTTTAAATGTACAATAATACCCCAACTTCCATGAAATTAAAATTATGTCGGTATTTTCATTGCAGAATCTTGATTTGAAATTTTCCAAAACTACCTTGAATGCTGTTTGGAAGAAATTTTTTCCATTCCTTTCCAAAAACAAGATAAAAATAACACCAAAAGCGCATAAAGTCACTCATTAATAGAAAAATTATCAATCTTGCCCAATAAAAAGATTTGAAAATTGAAAGTGATGGCATCAGCAAGCTGTTGGACTCTATTAGCAGAGAGCTGATAACTGATGAACTTACTGAGATGCATGAGAAAATTGCTACTGAAGAATCTGACATTTTAAACCCAAATCCACCAGACAAACAAATGAGAATTGCAAGTTCAACAGAAGGTCTCGACCTAACTGAAAAAAAAATTTAAAAATTTTGAAGAACAAGTCAAGAAATAAAAGAATTATTATCATACTAGAAAGGAATTTTACCTCATAAAAATTATCATTGGGGCATCTCATATGAATCTGTTAAATTTAATCAATGGGCACAGAAATAACTTCATTTTATGAAAGACAGTTACTGATATGTATGATTTTGTATCACACTTTATACTGTATTTTTATTATATATGCTTTTTTTATACAAGTGTTTTTAAGCATTCGCAGTTATTTAATTAAAAATCATAAGTATTTGTAGGCAAAGTTAGAATCACATGCTTTTTGTCAAACATGCTTATCTCATAACTTAGCAGTGTTACTGCTTAATAATGCATGTTTTAAAAATGCAATAATATTCATCTGCAATACATTTTTGGTTATTTTTAGACATATTTTGACCAAGAACCAAAAAAGATTTTACTCTATCTTATTGCTACTTTTTGAAGTCTAATCTAATGCATATTTCACACTAGCTTAAAAGTAATGAAATTTCATTAAAAAAAAAACTTTTCAGACATTAGATGCTTACTCAAAAACTTGATTTTTACAGAAAAAAATCTTTTCTCAATTTTTTTTTTTTTTTTTAATTTTTAGTTGAGACATAATTTGACAATTGCCCCCCCCCCAAGAAAACTTTGATTTTTTATCAAAATGTATCTTAAAATAGGAATTATATTCTAAATAGCAGAAAAACAAGAACTAACAAATTCAAAATATGCACGTTGTAATTCTGATGACATATGATTTACCAAAAAAATGTACAAATATAAACAGAAAATACTAGCCAATAACATAAAATTTCATACATAATGAAAAATATCAGCATATTTCAGTAAGTTGTAACCAATTACAGATTTATTTTTCTTTCTGCATTATCAATTACTCAACCCCCCTCTTTGGATAACAACATTTAAACAAGGTATTAGGAAAACATTCCATATCTATTATTCAAAATTTTCTCCTGGGTTTAAATTTATCTATATGAATATTTAGTTATGATACTAATAACTTCACAACGAAGATTATTAAAATCACTTTAGGTAAATAATGTAAGACAAACTACTACGAGATATACACTGCTGGCCATTTAAATTGCAACATCAGGAAGGAATGATCTGACGAACATCAAAATCACATCAAATGAAGAAGAGATTGGGATATGCAAATGATTACGCATTAAGATGACGCAGGAGGAAGAAACAAGATCTGAAGCACTGTATAAAAGAAAAGTTGTGTATCGGATTTCTCATTTGGAAAGTGCTTTGTAAGGTCAGTGTTTGCTCTGAATTTCGCATTATGCCGCGAACAAAAAAATTATTACCAGCAAGTGTCGAAAATCGATGGAGGCAGAATCGATGCCTACCAAGAGTGTGGATTATCATTCTGAGATATCGTCTGTTGCACTGGTCGACATCAAAACACTGTCATGCAAATATAGAATCAATAGGTTACTAAGGTTCATACTGAATGGCATGCAGAATCTCGACTCCGCCCCATGACTAACACCTGAGAGGACAGACATATTGTGAGGTTAGCTCTGAGAAACCATACAACCATATCACGGCCCATTAGTCCAGAAATGGGCATGTTTGCAGCACCGCCAGTATCCACTTGTACAGAGTGTCAACGTTTCCAACAGCGTGGACTATCAGCACAGTGACCAATTCACAGTACAGTTAATTCAGCTTCCCAACAGTGCAGCATAGAGAGGGACGGCAAATCTGGTGTGCCGCATGACAAAGCTAGATAAAGGAGTGGCATAATGGCGTCTTTTCAGATGGATCCCAGTTCCACATGCAGTATTCTGATGGCCGTATCCATGTCTGCAGGCTCCAAGGAGACAGCACGTTGCCTCCTTTGATTTGATATTGGCATAGGGACCATGCACCTGGTGTGATGGTTTGGGCAGCCATTGGGTATATGACACGCACATATCTAGTTCGGATTGACGGTAATTTGAATACAGATCGGTACATTACTGACCTCTTACATCCAGTGGTTGTGCCCTATCTTCGAGGCCTGCCAAATGCCATCTTCCAACAAGATAATGCAAGACCACATGTTGCACGTCATGTTCTGACCTTCCTTGATACACAGAGTATTCAATTGCTGCCCTGGCCTGCTCAGTCCTCTGATCTGCCACCCACTGAAAACGTCTGGTCATAGGTTCCTCAGACACTGGCCCGCAAACCCCCTCCAGCTAATATGGTTGATGAAGTGCGGCATAGACTTGAAGCAGCATGGAATGAGTTGCCTGTTTCTGTCATTCAAGCTCAGTTCGACTGCATGCCTAACGGGGTAAGGGCCATTTTAGCTGCCAGGGGTGGCAGCTGTTTCAACTAATTTCGCACCCCAGTAAACCCCCAAACTGCTTAAAAGTTTAATCATTTTATCTTCATGCCATACTGTTTACATACAATAAATATCTTTTTTGCATTTGCTTTCCTTCATGGTGCTACAATTTTAATGGCTAGCAGTGTAGATGATTATTAGGACCGAATGCAATATGATTTTGCTTACACATACTTCAAAATAATTTTGAAAATGGAATTATTTGAAAGCGATGAAAGTTATGTTTTCAAAATATACAAAACAAATAAGATCCCAATGATATTATCAAGAGGAAAAAATTAAAACTTACTCGCATTCAGACTTTATATTACTTGAAGATTTCAATTTTTTTGCAGGAGTAGCACTCTGATCATCGCACACATCTTTACTATCACAAATTTTATTCATTCTCTTCATAACCTTACCTCTTGAACTTCTCTTCTGAAATTGTGGATAATACAAACGCAAGTCTTCATCTTTAGGTGTAAGGTTTTCTGCATTTTCTGATGACTGATCAAAAGACTGTTTGCTAAAATCAGATGCTTTATGCAGAACTGATGGTTTTTCTAGTTTTATGATGGATTCTTCATTATTTCTGCTTTTTTTATATACTTCCTCTTTCTCAAATAATGAATCAGAATGACGTTTTGCTTTTGTAGACTTTTTAACAAATTTCGGCTGTAAACCTTCATGTACCTGAGGCACAGTTTTAGAAATAGCCGAAATTGGAGGTAACTGTTTTTTATCAGAATTCAATAACTTTTTTTCGGGTGAACACTTTGGAATTTTGTACTCATCTTTAATAGCTTTGGAAAATTTAGCTGAAGGATTATCAATTCTATTAGTATTTAGACACTTGCTTTCATAAGCTATTTTCCTAGAATCCTCTTCAACTTTGCATTTATTGTCCCCAAAATTATTTTTACACTCTTGTGGACTTTTAAACTTACAGTTACTAGAAACTTTCTTAGTCTCTTCTGTATTTTTGCTGTTATTAGACACTTTTTTAATCTCCTCAGTACTTTTATTGTTACTTGAAATTTTCTTAGTCTCCTCTGCAGTTTTATTTTTATTATAGGCATTACTTGTTTTATGTTTAACAGGGTTAATATTCTCACTTTTTTTCCTATCTGGAACTTTATCTACTAAGCTTGGATTCATTTTCTTTCTCACAACTTTTACTCCAGTCATCTTTTGAACACCACTTTTACTGGCTAAGTTGTGTACTGCAGAAGATTCTGCTTTAGAAATTGGAACAGCAGAAAATGGCTGAATGGTTCCAGAACTTGCTTTATAACCCTCTGCTTTAGAAACTGGTATGGCAGTGGAAAGTTGAATGTTTCCAGAAATCCCTTTAGAACACTCTGCTTTAGAAACTGGAACAGCAGTAGAAGGTTGAATGGTTCCAGAACTGAACATTGTCTTACTTGCATCAGATTTCAAAATATTAGTCTTGCAAGGAAGAGACTGGTGAGTTACTTTGTCTATTTTAACCAAAGGTAGATCTTTAACAGTACCTTGCTGAAATTTAAAAACTGCATTAAAATACACAATTTTTAGTATAACTCCTCAACATGGTTAAATCAAACAAGTTTTAACAAGTCCAAGACTAATATAACACATTACACTCACATTTAACCTCAATATTAAAGAATTTTTATGCATAAATGTCAAATAAACCCATGTAACTTTGCAAGAATTATAAAACACAAAAATTATGCAATAATGTCATAATTTCCTACCTGCAAATTTAAGATTTTTATTTAACAGTATATATATATATATATAAGCTTAAATATTTGTTGTGTGTAAAAGTTCTACCTTTTTTTATGTGAAGAAGAAAAATAAATAAAAAAGTAGAGCATTTATGAATTCTTTTGTTGTAGATGCTATGACATTTACTATGACCTCTTATCACCTATCTACTTTGCAGTAAAATCCTTCATTATCAAAAATCCTCTCGTTTAGAGTCAAAAAACCTTGTAATGCTATTTTAACATCCACATCTATCTTGTAATGGCATTTTAAGCACATCATTCAAAGTCTGAAGGGTCAAAGAATTCTGCAATGGTAAAAAAAAATAGCAATCCAAAGAAACAAGGTCTGGAACTAATAGGCTTGATGAAGTACAACTTCGTAATCAAAGTAGACTAGTTTTCCCTGAGTGACTAAAGCAGCATGAAATCTAGATTTAGAATGCTGAAAGATAACATCTTAGTGACTGCGAAGCTGTGGCTGCTTACATATCAGTCTTTGCCACAATCTTCCTATTGTCAGCATTTATAGTTTAGTTATGTGGGAGTAACTCCCAATATATTATGCCCTTGATGGCTTACCATATGCTTCACAAAATTTTTTCAAAATGCAATCCTTCTTTTGATGTCTTTAAAGGTAGATTTGAAGAATAATGTAATATACGGTTTAGCTCTCAGTGTTTGACATTCAGTAGAGTAACCATTTCTAACAACCCATCACAATCCATTTTGAAAATGGATCATTTCTAGAAGCAGAGAACATCTAACATTGTTTTACAGGCAGCCGATGTGAAACCCGTTGATCTAGCTATGCCATGAGCTTAAGTGCTTGCAGGCTTGTCCAAAAATCACTGATAAATGTCCAGAAAATAAGCATGAATTCTGTCTCCGATTTTCCGAAACCTGTTATCTTGCCTACACTACCATTTCTACTTTTGCTGATTTTCCCCAGGATGCAAATAAGTACTGTATATACCCCCGTATAAGTTGATTATCTGACTTTTGAGAAAAATTTTCAGACAAACAAATTCGTCGCACAAGCGGTAGTACTGCTGCCGATAAAACAGCATGCTGATGTATGTGATAAAAATTACACTCACATTTTAGCACATGATAAGCATGATGCAGTCGAAACATATCCCAAACCAAAAGCGAAGATTTCTCTAAAAGTGCACTTGGTTTTTGAACCATACATTTTGAAACCAATCAATTGTTAGGGTGTCGTCCATCCAACCACTTTTCTGGGCGAGAACAAGAATGCCTGCCGGAAATGCTGCAGAAACAAATTTAATTAAAAAAAACTAATAAATAAAATGGAAAGATTTTTTATGACCGATATATTTAATAATTAAGTTTGCCGACATATCATCAATCGGCGGCGGTGGTTTTTGTTTCGTGTATAAGCTGACCCCCTACTTCGAAGTTTGATTCTTTCTGCACATAGTTGACTTATATGCGGGTATATACAGTACTTCATGTATGAACAGAGTTTTTGTAGTTAAGAGAGAGCTTTTAGCAGCAAACGCTGATCACCTTAGTACTATTTTTGTTCAGCTCCTAGATTCACTTAAATCAGCTTTAGTATTTGCTAGTCACTTGTGTTCATGTATGAAACCAGCCTGTGTCAGAACTTACAGGTGGACTTTACCTTGTAAATATCATACTTAAATTTCTTAACTTAAAATTCTGTGTTCTGTTTAACTCCTCAAACAACAATGATTTGTTCTGCTATTATGCAAGCTGTATAATTTGTTAAACTGAAGCACTAATAATTTTTTTTAACCTGCTTCTGAGTTTGGTAGCAATCCAAAGGACAACAAATACAAGTCAATAAGCTGAATGCAAGTAATTAGGATCTGTATGCTGGCACTCAACATGAATAATTTAGTATGTTTTTATATAGCGCTATGTCCTTGAAAGGTTACAAGTTGGCGAAATGATAGCAAGCCTAATATAAAGTTAAGGTACATCACAGATGCTATACGAGCTTCAATGATGCCAACCATCAATTTTAATGGTAGGAGTTTGGTACTAAGTTTTGTGAAAGGCCAGGAAAGCCATTTTCTATTGCACCCAAATGGCAAACAATAGAAGGTATAGCTATGCCAATAGCTATGTCTGTTTTGTAGGCCAGGACTTTAATTGGTTCAAAGGCATCAGGAAAACTTTGTTGGGTAAACCCAGTAAGGAGACTTACAAACTTGATGTTTTTAAGGCTGCATTGATTAAAGCTTTTTCTGCAGTGATACTTGTTTTGAAAAATCAAGTGCTAGGAGAACTGATGGCATTTGTATTAACAAAAGTGGACACTGTGAAACTGCTGGGGGGATGGATATTCAAGTCATACAGTTGATTACATCAAAGCTATTGCTGTATATAGTATTGCATGTATTGCTGTATATATATTATTTCATAAAAATAAAGTTCTCTGGGTCATTGAAAAATTTTTCAGGATAGCATGAAATATGAAAGCAGAAGGGTGGTCAACAACAGCCCATATCCTAATACTGTACTAGATTCATCAGCAGCTACAATAATTGATTTAGCAGATGTGATGAAAATTTGGCAGGAAAATTAGGAATTAATGCCAGCACAGTAATTGGCTGAAAAAGCAAAGTGGCAGGTGGGGGGAGAGGGAGAAAAAATCTTTACAGAAAAAGGAAAAATGTGTATTGAAAATAGTAAGGCAAGTTTTTTAAGCTAGAAACAGATGCTGAGGTTAGTCACCCCAGGATAAGCAAAAAACCTCTGAAATAAAGCTGAACACAGTGTTGTTGTAAAATGTCGAGTTATCTTACATGCAGGTAGTTTTAATGGAATTCCATTAGAAATGCTGTTAGATATAACAGCCAAAGGTAGCTTCATGGCAGAGAAGTTTTTTAAGAAATATTTTAGGAGATACAGATTGCTTGAATTGTAAGGTAAAAAGTCATAACAGTGGAGGGTAACCTGATAACATTTCATGTGATTAGGAATTTACATGTGAATGATCAGATTATTTTAATCAGTAGGAGTGTAAAAGGGGTTAGGATTTTTTTTAGTCAATAGGGATTTAATGCAGATATGGTTTGGGGGTTTGATATGAGCAGACTGAAAGAAAAGAAGACACCACCACCAGCCCTGGAGCTGCTACATCTGCTGCTGGAATAAAAGCTCCACAGTTTGGTAAGAAACATTTTTGGCATTATTTGATAGAACCCCTGAGTTAACACATGTAGTCATCCATGAGAGAGATCAAGAGGATAATCCCCTCTCTAGAGCAAAACCCTACTGGTACGACAAAATTAAGAAACAAGAATAATAGCTGAAAAGCATACTGCGAAGATTATCAGATATCAAGATCATAATCCTCACAAATAGTCCCTATGCTCACTAGTTTAATGTCAGAAAAAAAAAATAATTTACCACCTACAGACTATACATCATGGGATTTCAATCACAGTTGCAAAAAATCAAATATTGCGGAGGAATATCAAATTTATCTTTAATTTACAAGGGGCAGAGCCAAATGAAAATGGTGTAGATTGGGGGGGGGGGGGTAAGTAAGCTTTTTTTATTGCAAAAGTAGTCACTGTACCTGTTAACCCTTTCTGGCACACTAAATTTAAAAATGGAATTTCAAAAGAAAAAAAAAAAAAAAAAATGGCAGGCAGTCTACTCAGGCCTAAATACACAAGTAAAATTTTGTAAAGATAGCTATTACCATTTTAATTCTGTGGGTGTGCCCCAAGCGGGCTCACTGAATGAAAAGAGCTTTGAAAAAAGTGCTGAAGCGAGCATTGTTGCACATAATAGAGGAAAACATATTACCAACGATTAAAAAAACTATAGATTCTGATTACCGTAGCAGATTTAGCCTTACCCAGGGTGCACCACAGGAAATCTTGCTCCTCTATACCCCAAAATAATTCTTCTTGGTTATATGATGATTACATGCTTGTAAATGAAAAATAAGCAAATGAAAAATCGGCAACTTGGCTATATGATATTTGCATTATTTACATTTCACATTTACACTTCTGTCTATTTTTTTCATAGCGGTACTTTTCGAAGCAAGTGAATCAGAAATGGTCAGTCTTCTCCGATCCATTTGCAAAATAATTAAAAATCAGAAAAAATAAACTAATATTATATCTACAATTAAGAAAATATACACTACAAAATAAAATTAAAGAAACATCTACAACTCCAAACTATCAAAACATAAAGCCAGCAAAACTTCTTTCAATGAAAGAGAACTGCTCTAGGGAAAAATCAAAGAGCTAATTAATAAATTTCCTTTGACCTTCAGAAAAACACCCCACCAATGTCTTAGTTAACACATTGACTGCCCAACACGAGAAAACTCATATTAGCGCTCTTCTTCAGAATGCCAAATACGAGTTGTCTCGTAGTTTCTTGCCTTACCACTTTTGCGCTGCTCCAAGTTACTTACTTAGCACTTGTTTTAGCTGTACCGAGGTGACAAGTCAAAGCATGTCTGTGCGAATAAACTCATAGTGGGCTTGTGCGAAGAGCTTTGTCTAACAAAACCCGACTATGAGATAATTCGTAGAACCCTTTTCTCTATATAAAAAAAAATCCTGTAAACTTTTTGATCACTGTTATGAATCATAATTAATATTTTTAATAATATTATATGATTAAATCAATTTGGCTTCTCGGACTGGAATCCGAAAAGTGCCGTGGCAGTCAATATGTTAATAACCAAACCTCCCTCCAAAAAAAAAAAAAAAAAAAAAAGAAACAAGAAAAAAGGATAAAGAA